CCCCCCTGCTACCAACTTATTTTTTTTAAATAGCAAGGTACCCCTTGTGACATATCAAATAAAAGAGCATAAAAAAAGAAAATGTTTGATGAAAAAAAATTGAAAATCGGTTCATAAATTTGTGAGATATTCCCCCCTCATCCCCCCCCCCGAACTTAATTTTTTTTTAATAGCAAAGTACCCCTTGTGACATATCAAATGAAAGAGCATGAAAAAAGAAAATTTTTGGTGAAAAAAAATTTAAAATCGGCTCATGAATTTGTGAGATAATCACCCCCCTTTTCCCCTACCCATAACTTGTTTTTTAATAGCAGGGTACCCGCCCTTGTGACATATCAAATGAAAAATAAATTTCGCCAAAATTTTTCTTTTTTCATGCTCTTTCATTTGATATGTCACAAGGGGTACTTTGCTATTAAAAAAATTTAGTTCCGGGGGGGTGAGGGGGGAAATATCTCACAAATTTATGAACCGATTTTCAATTTTTTTTAATCAAAAATTTTCTTTTTTCATGCTCTTTTATTTGATATGTCACAAGGGGTACCTTGCTATTTAAAAGAACTAAGTTGGGGGCAGGGGGGGAAAGGGGGGGAATGTGAATGTAACGTTGAATTCAAAACAATTGGTCCCCCTACGTCAATAGATGATTCCCGCAAACTGCATATTTCTATCTATTGCGGTTTTTACATAAATAAAGATGCAAGTTTAAAAAAAAACACCCTGTATATATATATATATAGTCAATGTTAAAACCCCGATAATTTTTACGTTTTGGCTGATGTCGAATAATTGTGTCGCCCTTATTTTGGGCCATATTTTACAATTCTTGATTTTCTATTTGAACCAGATGACAAACAATAATTAACGATTAAATTGTTACATACCTAGTTAAAATCAAGGGGTAGCTAAGGGGGCACAGAGATAACATATGGAGGACACCGGGGGTCTGGCCAGGGAAAGAGTGCCCGGGGAAATTTTTAAATTTGAATGTTAAGAAAAAAGAGGGTTTTTAAAAATCTTACTAACTAAATGACAAAGGTGTGTGCATGTAATTAGTTATCAGTTCAGTTAGGATTAGAATTTGTTTGGATATTTTTAGGGAGTTTTCCCTTTCATTCCCCTTCTCCCCATAGATCCGCCACTGGTTAAAATAATGTTATAACAGACAATATTAAACTACAACGCTCTCCACGCAAACCGGACAGAAAAATACCTTAAAATTGTCTTAAGATAATCTATATTGATACATTTAAAAAAGAGTCTGTTTGATCCATGCTAAAGCAAAAACTTAATTGAGATATGGTACGATTGGTCTTTTGATTGAATAAAATGTTTCACAACTAGAAATACTGTATATACTTTTGGAACAATTGCCCTATCCTAAGTTGTAGTGGATACCCTGGAGTGTTGTAAGTTGTAGTGGAATGCTACACTGGAAGCGTAGAAGCGTCTAGAAACTACCGGTAATACAGCGAGACGCACGTGTCATCGCTGACGTCAGAATCGTTGGAAGTGAAATGGACAGGGTAGCCTGCAATAATAAACAAAAAGGATTAAATATAGACTGTCAGCCGTGCTGTGGTTACCATATGTTCTGGCGCACATCGCTGGGAGCGCCGTGTAGACGTAGCGCGTACGCCGTAACTACATGGCGCTCCAAGCGGTGTGCGCCAGAATGGTAACCCTCAGCGCAGCTGACGGTCTATATTTAATTCTTTTTGTCTATGGTGCAATGTGCACCACATTTCATTGGTGGACAAAATAAGGAAACATCAGGAGAGTCCCTAGCCTACTGTGATTATGACTCATTCAGTTAATAGCTGTACAGTAGTTACAACTTTGCTGGCGATGCAAGTGAGTTACAGTTTTGAACACGCTTGTCAGATCAACAGACGGACATAGATCGAGGATCGTTTTGGCTTCACTACATCGTACAAAACCAAACGCTACATAAATAAAAACAATGTAGGCCTACGAGAACAAACAAAATTAAAACTTAATCTTAAAATTATTGAATCTTAAAAAAATAAGAACTAATAATCTATAGCAATAAAAACATTCATTGACAATGATAAACGGTGTTAAAGCAAGCCAAGTGTTGAATTGAATTGAATTGAACGGAAAAATTCTTTATTCCTCAATATACATAATAGTTGTAAACAATCAGTATTGAACACAATTCTGGTTATAGTATTTATACAAATATGCCTATATACTTAAACAGAATTTTTTTAACCTTAACTGTTTACTAAACATGAAAATAGAATAAAAGGATTCATTGAGCAATAAAGCCCTGAGGTTATAAAACCTGTGCGGGATCTATATTTTTTGAATCTTACACAAACTCAGTATAGTAGGGTAGAGAGTGCCTGGCCGGAATCAGTGTACCACAGTTATACTACACATATAACCGTAATTTGAATGTGAATTTGATGTCATTTAAATGTAATTTAAAAACAACATAAACGTGGCTTCTTCACATCATTGACTAAGGTAATTTCCTTAATTCTTACGTCTAATTAAAATATTAGGCATTGTTTAAAAAAACTATAACTATAGGCCTAGACTCTATAACTAGCAATGAAAAACACTATGCCCTTCATATTAGAGTAGTAAAAAATTGATTACATAATGTCATTATGGTTAAGTAAGTACTGTAGTTACGTATATTTGGATTTATAGGAAAATAACAATCCAGTAAATAGATTCGAGATAAAATACGATTGGAAAATAGTTAAGAATTCTTAACAAAGGTAATTTAGGCAACTTAGAAACAATAAGAATAAGAAAATAACAATCCAGTAAATAGATTCGAGAGAAAATATGATTGGAAAATAGTTAAGAATTCTTAACAAATGTAGTTTAGGCAACTTAGAAACACTAAGAATAAGAAAATAGCAATAAAAATCAATTATTTTAGCTATGAACCGGTGGGTAGAAACATAATTATGATACAGATTTAATACCAGATTTATTGTAGTTGTTCATGCGGGAGTAAACTATTCTATATAAAGATCAGAAAATATCCGTTTCTGGAATCATTGGACTGACGACCTCAAGAATAACGGTTCCATTTACGGAACTAATTGTAGTTTGACTTATAGTAACCCTTTCTAAGTAGTATTTCTGGAATTATTCTCTTTGGATATTTTTGTTTTCTATTTTCCTTATGTCGCTGTCGTCAACAGTTTCTCAACTAACAGAATAAGGAAAGTATATGGTACAGTGTTAATGGTAGGTACTCTATTATCCATTTTAAACACTGGTACATTATTTCCATGTGACTTCAAGCAGATATTCAGTTTAAGGTCAACAGACACAAGCATTAACCAGACGAATTACATTATCATCTTTAAACCTTGATTTGTTTGAAAAACTAAAACCTATACTTTATTTTATATTTGTGTCGAAAAATGTCAAAGGGATGTGTGAACAAATATTTTCTTAGGCTGAAAGTCGAGAACTAGGAATTAGCTGCGAAAACGCTTTCAGTTTCATGCGAGGTGCGAACGCCATTTTCGTTTATCAAATGACGTAACTAAAAACAGCTGATATCATCGTATGATAACGATAAAGTCAAGGGTATTAGAACAGAAACGGAATGAATCACCAGAAACAAAATACAGTAACGCCACTAGACCGAGTTTTATACCAATGACATTAACAATATTTTTGAAGTTTTTTACAGTTCTTATTCAAGTAATAATACAAACTGTTTACTATCGGTCCAGTGACGTCATTGTTAATGTTAATGATCAACACCTTTCTGTTCCAACATTCGTTCTTCTGTTCTAATATACGTGGATATGGTGTCAAAATTAAAATTGCAGCATTCTTGCACTAATAATAGTTTTGCAAGTACTCTTAAACCAACGGCTCGTGTTATTAAACCCATTATGTTTTTATCTATGGCATTAGTTAATGTTCTTTAGACAATCCTCACACTATTTATTAGCTATTTTTCAGCCCAATAAGTCGCGCTAGCCCCCCTCCTCTCCCCCACCAACACACGCATACAATTACTGTATATATTATGTGGTACAACTAATGACTCAATGGTACGATTCACCTTTGCTGTTTAGAATACAACATGGTCAAAAAACAGCTGTTTAGTTGGGTGCTAAATTGATTATGCTCACATATATCAGAGGCTTCGATCCTGAACAATATTATGTTGTTTTATTTACCACAATTAGGACAAGAGTACATATTTCAAGGAGAATATGAATAAAAAGATCTGTGGTGGAATTAATGGGATGATGGATTTGTTGCTGACTAATAAGCTATATCTTACAAGAACTATTTATGTTTATTTACTTAAAGCCCAATTTTATCTATGAGAGAGAGCTGGGTCCTCTTCCAAACCGTGCAATTTCTATAATTTATTTATTTGACGGTAACAACCATTTATAATATGCTGTAATTAACTAAACAATACGTAGCGGTATAACAATTTGATGGCTAACATTGGTGTGGTGCGTAAAACATCATGACATATTTTTTTGACTAAATATATAGCGTACAGGCACAGACAATATAATACTTCAACCCTCAAATTAAACAAACAAATTAAAGTATTATATTGTCTGTGGTACAGGTTTAAGACGAAAAACTGAATACCACAACTGCGCTTTGTCAGTTATTTTTAACACGGAAAAGGTCACCCTTTGACTAAAGAATTGGCTACACAGCTTGGGCTTGACCATTTAGATGAGATGTCTAATTGAGTATCCAAAGACGAAGTCCTACACACCGGTTCATCCCACAAAGTAACGAAGACCCAAGCCCACTCAACAGGTTTGACGTCATGGGTTTTCGACAACCTCCCCTCTTCAGTTCTAGCGCCGAGAGCTGGAATGAATGTAACTTTCCAACAATACACCACAACAATACCAAGAAGTCCTCTCAGTAGTGCGTAGATGACTCACTCGTAGCGCCACGGTCGGCTGGCCGGTGTGTGAGGAAAGGACCTTGGGAATACCCACGATGATGTCATACCCACCGTTTCTGATTGGCCGACACAACGACGCCACATAAAACTACGACGCACCTTCTCACCGCTTCATTCCAGAACAGAGCATCGTTGGCTTCAGTCAGTGTGTTGTGTTTGTTATCTAGTTCAAGTTTGATCAGGTAAGGAATGGTGGTTTTAGCTTCTTTTAAGAATAAGATTAGTCAATTTGGCTTATTAGATTTTAATCTAAAAAAAAATGATTTAATTTTATCTAGGCATTTTCATGTTATTGAAGAAGTCGGCTAGGTTACACAATAGCTATTGAAATATTGAAAGAAAGTGTTATTTTTTGTATGTAGGCCTATAGATTTTATCTATTGTTATTTTACTAACTTGACATCGTTGTAGGCCAGGGTATGTCGGAAAATTGCATTCATAATGACAATTTTACCTAACTAAACTGATAATGAGTCCCTAAACTGTAGGTCTAATTTACATAAAAATAAAAGAGAATAATAAATCATATTTATTAATATTATAGTCTCATCAATACACTGAACATAATACAAATGCAGTCAAGTAGCCCCAGTCCACAATAGGTTGAGAAGTTTACTTGCAGTATCACAAGTCAAGTCTATGATTTTAATTTACCTACAATAAATATTTATTTGAATTAAAACATATTTACCCTCCATCATGCATTCTTACTTGTTGCTATTACTTGGGACATTATTTTAATTAATTTAAATTGAATGTGAACTAAAATGTAGTAAAATTCTATGGTTGAGTATTTTGAAGTAGATATCGGTATAGTTCGATTTACCTACCCCATTAAGAATATTTTTTAGTTACCCATTTTAATTCATACAATATACTGTATATATGAATTAATTCAATCTATATTAAAAAAACATTGATAAAGTAATAATTGTAGCTGTTGAAAACACTCAATAGCTAAGGGGTTTGGGTATGTCTACTTGCTGCTGCTTGCTATTATAATAAGCAAGTACATATTTGTATTACATTCTTCATCAACTTCTGCTTGTCACTAGCTCCTAAGTCAAAGTTTATACATATACAATCTAATGACCAACAGAGTTTGGGTTCATAAAATATTCTTTAAAAGTTCAGAACTTTATGATGATTGATGAGCTATACAGCGTGGTGTATTTTTTGGAGTACAGTTCATAAAGTAAAATACTAAAATATTAAAATTTTTCTACTTCAACCCCCCTTTTCCTTTCAAACCAGATGCTCGGTGTAACTTTTTACTTTATAATTTAGGGACTATATTGAATAGTTTGGAGTCAAAGATGGTTTTCACTTTGGATTGAGGTTGTGCTGTTTTCGACTAATTAATTGCACTGTACTACTGTAATAGTATTTGTCATGGATAAAATTGAACATATAGGCCTAATATTAAAAATTCAATAACTCGACTTCCGGTAACTCAAAAGTCAACACCTGACAGGTTGCATAAAAAAAGACTGTTAGTTAGATTTATTGTTAAATATTCAACATTTCTCTGAAGATTCTTCCCACGATTTTTTAAAATACTCATATAAGTAATACATTTATAGGCCCACCTATGTAAAATTAGTCTCTTTTTTGGTAATCATTTATAAAAACAATAAAAAATTTCAATGTTCTGAATAAGTCGACAACCTCAAACTCGACAAACTCTGGGTCCACAAATTGTGGAGTAAGTGAAGTTTTACTGTAACAACGATTTCCCACTATCATTATCAAACATGAGTTAGTCCAGATATACTCATTTCAGGTAATGGAGTTATATTGTTGACTCATCTATTAAACAAACACACACCTTGTTATAGATAAACAGCTATCTTAAATATGATAGCAGACTAAATGTACAGCTTGAACTTGTCTACATTATTGAGCTATTGAAGATTTATTGATACTAAATTTGGATATATTTTTGGTGCGATGAAACTGTTCTTAAAAATGCTGCATCATTCACAGGTTTAAAGTGTCAAATAAAAAATGATAAAAATATGTATGCTAATAATTTTGTAAATGATTTACATTACTGGATAGTTATTTACTCAAATATGGTTATATTTAGTTACATTTTCAATTTTTAAAAGAAAGTAGCTGACCCCATGTTTAACACTGTATTAATTCAGTTAACTGACTTATGATTATGTCGAAGCAGGTAATTGAACCTTATAAAAACAAAACCTTGCACCATCTAATAATTAATGTCCCTGGGAGTATACACATTCATAGATTTTATCAGTCAATAATCAAACTAGATACTGTAACAATGCAACAACGGCAGGAAAGCAAATTCAGTAGAAAACGAGTATAATCTTTTGACATTTCATTGAAAAGCGCTTACACTGATTGATGATGTGCTACCTCACTTACTTTTTATCACTGAAAACTTAATCTCAATTGGTTATTGTTCATGTTACAGTTGAAGATGACTACTCCCATCAAGGTATACTACGCTCCGGCCAGCCCTCCTAGCCGAGTGGTGCTGATGACTGCTAAGGCCCTCGGTGTCCCAGTGGAGCCCCGCATTGTAGACCTGGCCAAGGGAGAGCACATGGAACCTCAGTATCTGCAGGTGAGATGTCCTACACATTTGAGTAGTACTGTGTGACGAGTACAAGTATTTAGTTTGCTAGAATATTTGCTCAATTCTGCTCTGAATCCATTTAGTATTCGATTACTTTACTCGTCTGTGGCAGGGCCGATGTACCGAATAGGCACGGTAGGCACGTGCCTAGGGCGCGAGGCAATTAGCTTTTTTGGGGGCGCCAAAATATTGAAAAATTAAAAAAAAAATTGGCGGTTGTATTTGCATGATGCAGTAAACTTCTGATAATCCCTCGCAGCCGTGTAGACATCGTAACCGTCTCCCGCGATTGAGGCAAAATTCTGACTATTTTTGGTCGTGTAGACATAATTATTGCCTTCCATGATCTCGGCAATATATGAACATATCCCAAAGTCGTGAGGAGATTATCATTGTCTACCGTGAATGAGGGAAAATTCTGATAATCCCTCGCAGCTGTGTGTAAACATATTGTCATCTCCCGCGGTGACTGAAACGTCACTGTTGTCATTCGCGATGACGGTAGGCCTAAATTGAAAATTCCAGGTGGATATACAAAATTCACGCATAATTCCTGGTTCAAAAACCTTATGCATAATTCACGGATTCCCGGTTTTCCTGGTTGGTGGACACCCTGTATATATATTGCAAAGGGGCGCTACTATTAGTTGTGCCTAGGGCACTGACAGGGTCAAAAACGGGCCTGGTCTGTGGTGCTTTTGACTCAAAGTAATAACTCAGAGTACTATTTTAACTCGTCTCTGTCCGTTTACACTCAGACTCCAATACATATAGAGTTGTTTATGTGTACTGGCGATTCTGAGAACCATGCATGAGCATTAAACACATAAACCCTACTCTCGATTGCAGCGCTAAGAATTCATAACTGATGACCATAAATCCAGTACTAAGATTATCAGAGAAAAAGTATCGAGTCAACTAGATACCTAATAAACTAAAGTATTCAACTTGTGTTGAAATTGTCAAATATAACCAACAAAAACAACTACTGTAGTGCTTTCAATTAGTACCAAGTTGCTTAGCTTTGTGAAATATTGTTTGGTACTGATGTAAAAAAAGAAAATTGATCGAAAACGAGATAAAAGTTTTATGTTAAGCTATACTTTATTTGATAATGCATTAGATTTTTTCTGTCAAATATTACTAAGTTTGGTTTTTGTAACCAATATCAAATAATGTTCAATTCAGAAGTTCCATCTGCGAATGAAATAGTTTGAAGACTTTTAAAGCGTTAAACATTAAAATATCAAGATTATAGTTTTAAAATTCAATCTGTTTTAATAATACTTTGCATTGGTACTGAATACAGGGTATTTTGGAAGTCCAATATATAGGGCCAAGAACCTGTCAGATATAAGAAGATCATAGTTTTTTTGGAGTTATCATAACAGAATCTATTTATTAAAAAACACAGTGGCGTAAGTACATCTAACAGCCCCCCGCAGTGATATGTTGTGCTCCTGTGTAAGGCTTTGCCTCACACACGAAACTTGAGCACACCGGAAAATGTCACTTTTGGTACTTCTAATGGAATGTACTATTTTGATAAAATAAACAAAACTAAATGTTTAAATTTTTTTTCTTTTTCAGATTAACCCTCAACACACAGTCCCTGCCATTGTTGACAATGATATCACACTAAATGAAAGGTGAGTAAATTGCATAACCAAATACTGAGGTAATTGATAGCTATGGTTATGTCTGAATATGTTGGCTGTTAAACCTACCACTTGAGGCTTTTGTTAGATAAAAGTTGATAAAGTTGACCCGTGAATGATCAAAATGAGTTGTGTTACCTATTTTGCGGAAAATAGGCTTGATAAGATAATTCTTTATAGGATTAGCAGAATTATCTTTTTGATATGTCTTAACATGTTCTTTGGGATTATCTCTTTCTTTAATCTTCAACATGTTTATAGAGGATTGTACATAGGAAAACACAAAACACCAGGCTGCAGTTTGTTTAACTCAGCTGCAGTGAATTTAAATATAGAAAATTTCACGGCAAAAAATAATTTTTCAAAACCACAACATATGCCATAAGCCACATAGTTGACAAAAGACATTTGCCACAATTACATCACTGTGCAATAATTTATTCACCCATCAATTTGTCCTATTGAGCATATTGAGAGATGAGGATGGACTAAAGTTGGTGTTTTTTAATTCAAACTAATCAAAGTTTTCCTTTTGTAGTCGAGCAATCATCACATACCTGGCAGACAAGTACGGCAAAGATGACTCTCTCTACCCTCGCTGCATCAAGAAGCGAGCCGTTGTCAACCAGAGGCTGTATTTTGATGCCGGAACTCTTTTCCAGAGATTCGCTGACTACTATGTAAGTAGGTTCTTATGCATTTGCTTGAGAAATGAATAAAGTTGTAGTAGGATTGAGGTCAGTCAAATATTAAGTTTTAATTTTTCGGTGGCACAGTCAAGTTGTTAAAGGACAGACGGCGGTGGAATATTATTAGGTCTTGCAGGGATGTTCATTGTTTAAGATACTGAATAATTTCCCACACTTTTCCAAACTAATCCTTTAAAGAACCGTTAATTTGCAAAGTGTTTCTCTCATCATCTGCCTTTAAAAGTTGCTTGAACACCTAATGTGTTCCTACCTTACCTCTTTAAGTTTGAAAACATGTTGACAAATATAAACTTAAGAAATGTTAATAATAAACCTGTAAATTTTGACTATCCTTTATCTCTTACAGTACCCAAATTTCTTCGCCGGCGTGCCATTTGACGAGGAGAAGAAAAAGAAGTTGGATGAGGCCTTCAGTTTCCTGGACCAGTTCTTGGAAAAGACCCGCTGGGTTGCTGGAGATGACATCACTATTGCAGACATCGCCATAGCTGTCACTGTCTCCACTGCTGAGGTAAGATACTATATGATAACAATAAAGTTGCAAATTGCTCATGTCTTATTTCAGAAAATGCTTCAAGAGTTTTATTTGGAAACCTATTTTCATGTTCAAATAGTATCTTTTAAATTTGCAACGCGGTGTGAAGCTAAAAAAATATCCTCTTAAAGCTGCACAAAAACACAGCTACAACTGCCTTCATTGCTTAAACAATTTGTTATTTTTTCATGATTAAATAACTTTAAAATCTAAAGTTAAATAAACTTTAAATGGGAAGAATTTAGATTCCCAAAATATTCTACTTAATTTATTTTTAACCAGTTGTGAGGCAGGGTGAAATAAAAAAGTAGTTGAAATTGTAAACCTAACAATATTGTAAACATCGCAGACAATGCAGACATGTACTAAAATCTTGCATTACATTCACTATTCACAAGACTAAGTGGTGGACAATATCAGTACTGTACAGTATACCCTGGTTGACCTAAAGCACAAGCATGGTGGATCTAAACTTAAACTCATAGATTGCAGCACATACCAGTCTACCTATAAGTAAAAAAAAATAGTTTTGCTCAAATTAGTGTAAGGAAAAATTGGTTAAGAGATTATTTTGTCCGATATTTCGGCTATTTGAGCTCAAAGGTCTAATAAGAACTTTATTCTCAGGTGGTTGGCTATGAAGTCAGCAAGTACCCCAATGTAGCAGCGTGGCTTGCCAAGTCCAAGACTACCCTTCCCGGCTACGAAGTCAACCAACAGGGGGTTGAAGCATTCAAAGGGATGGTCGACTTTCTTACCAGCAAGAAGTGAACACATAACACGGCATTGTTAACCAAAGAGTATTATTTATTAAGTGCTTTTTTATGTTGTATTATTAATTAATGTTAAGTGTAAGTTAGAGCTATAAATAAAAAATAATTTTGATGTAACAAATATTTTCTTTTGTACCCTGATAAAAATTTATTTTTAAATTGGTTTTTCATAAAAGTAAAGATTTAAGGTTTTAAGTTAGGATTTTCATAAAAGTTGATTTTCACTAATATATTGAAATAATTTGGTCTATGATGGTAACTGTAGAAAACTCCAGTAAAAAACAGTTTAAACGATACTTCTCATTGGAAAATCGTCCAACTAAACAGAATAAAGGGTAATGACTTTGAATTGTGAAGCAATAGATCGAAACAAACCTGACGCCATTGTATTACTCATCTCCATTCATACTTGGCTTACCTACTTTGTATGGTTACCATTTCATTGAAAAGTATAAGTATTTCTCGAGGAAATTACTGATAAAGAATTTTGTCTAATGTCTAATTCGTGTTTATAAAGTTATGCTTATAATTAATCCTATGAACTCTGAGACCCATGAATTATAATAATTCTAATATTTAACTATGTCCAACCTATAGCCATGCTTACTTTTGTAATGCTTTCTCCTAACTTACCTACGAGAAAAAAAACATAATTCTCTTCAAAGAACTTTTGGTGGACACACACTCAGGAAGGATGGGAACAAATAGTGAAATGCTTGATGAGATGTGCAAATCACAAAATATCCATCCATAATCCATCCATCTTGTCAATCTCCAGCTAAACTGTCTCTCACGTCAAGCTCTACCACTAAACTGTCTGTTAAGCCACTGTCACACGGAGCTGGTTTTCTAGCCGCTAGTAACTAGCAGCTAGAACCAGCGGAAAACCAGCATCGTGTGACTGACTCTCCAGCCGCTAGTAACACTCGCATGAGCTGGTATCTCCAGCCGCTGGAGGTTTTAAACAGTTTAATATTACAAGCGCTTGAACAGTCACTAGCAGGTCATGTGACCACCCAGCTGTAGTCTCTAGCATCATTCCAGCTCTGTCTGACAGTATCGTGCTAGTTCTCGCAATCAGAAAAATGAATGTAATAGCTATTTACCTTACAAGTGTAGTAAGAGCGCATTTACATCACGCAGGTGAATGTTGTGCAACGAGCGGAAGCGAGTGAATACTTAAATTCGACAGTTCGAAAAGCTTAGAGGTACAGGTTCTGCTCCCGAGAGATTCTAAATATAAAATAAGCAGTTCAAAGGAAATATAAAACATATGACTTCAGATAATAAGGGTTTGGTATGTATTAACAGGCCATATAAAATAGATTTAACATATTTACACATTAAAGACTAAAAAGTAGAAAATAAATTATAAATAAAAATCCTTTTTTTAAATGCCACGTTTTTAAACGCACTAAAAAGTAAAAATAATTTATAAATATGTGGAGGGAAATACTTAAAATATTTAAAACTAAAAACGTGGGGTGCATGCAATAGATAATCTATACTTATTTAATACGCAAGCAGGTTTTTTGTGACAATTACTCCTCCTAAACTACTGAACCGATTGACATGTTTTTGGTGTCATTGGAAAGGGCGTAACGTGAAGTTGTGCAAGAAACTTTCTTTTTAGGGAAATAATTAGAGAGTGAGGCCCTGGCGCCCTTTAAAGTTTTGTATTTCCCCATAAGGATAACATAGGAGATAATTTTTATTTACAGAAACATATGTTTGTTACTTGAACATAGTCAAAGTCTACTACATAATAATTGCTGTGAATTATGACTGTTAATGTATACTACATTTCAATCAAGGATTGTATACCTTAAAGTTTAATCATAATGGATATTACTACTTTATTTTAATTCCGGGAATAGTAAAATTTAGTTGAGATTAAGTTACCACGATTTAGAAAACTTTACTATAATAATTTATGTATTTAAAATCACAAATATTTGACATTATTAATTCATTTGAAACAAAACAGCTGATCGACAAATCAAACAAATCATCTACTTCATGTGAATAATGCTGTTACACAAAAATAGTAGGTTATAAAAATGTAGGTTACACAACCAATAACTTGATTCTTTTTTACTTGTGGGTTTGCAGTTATGAAGCACCAAGCCAAGTAACTTAAGCACTTTAATTAAAGATCAGCACCCAGACCAATTTCAGTCATGAGCAACTATATTATATGTTGTTTTAAATAAGGCTACATCTTTTAATAGGTTACACATATTCATTATGGGAAATTTTGACGAGGGTAATATTCCTGAAGGTAACTTCAAGACTAAAATCGTAGTGTTCATGGAAGTGCTGTTGTGGTTAAAATATTGTTTTTTAGTGTTTATTTTTAAAAGTGTTTTCTTCAAGCAGCATTTTTATGACCCTCAAAATACGCTACACAGGCCTATTGGTTTGATATGATAAAAAGTTTTGTTAAATGTGTTTTTAAAAATCTTTAAAAATAACAGCTCTATAACATACTTGAACATTTATTAATTTACTAAATAAAATACACATACAGCTAGAACTGCTGAAATGGCTGGACTGCTTCTCTTCTAAGGATTTAAATAATTGATAATTGATAATAATAATTTATTATTACTGTATTTAATTTTTAACGTTGAGCCAATATAAACACGATGCATTTGTTTTCTAAATTCATATGTAATTTTGCGGGGCATTGAGCCGCACAGGTTCACTAGTAATAGTTCAATAGGTAAAGATAATTGTAAATCAGCATGCGCCCACGTTTTTTTTTTAATCTTACAAGTATTTATTCTCCCCACATATTTATAAATTATTTTTTACTTTATAGTGCGTTTAAAAACGTTGCATTTTTAAAAAGTATTTTCATTTATAATTTATAATAGTAGCGATTTAATATTACGTACATATCTGATATCTTCTTTATGGGTAAAAAACAGTTTTGTTTTCTTTGAAGACATTACGAGCAAAACAAGTCTACACACAACACGAATCGCTCAGCGACTGCGACTCTGACTGCCCTCAGAGCAGACCCGCTACAGTCGCTGTGTTCAGCCGCTAGCCGCTCCAGTCGCAGTCGCGTCAAGGACAATGGTCCCATTTGAAACAACGCTAACCAGTGCTCAGCTACTATCGCTGAGCTACTATCGCTCAGCTACTATCGCAAGAGTCGCTTCAGGGACAATGCACCTTAAAGCTGCTGGATCTCGCAGCGAGAACCAGCTGCTGGAACCAGCTCCGTGTGACAGGGGCTTAGGTGGGCCTCTCACGCCAAGCTCTACCACTGACAGACCGATCACTTTCTAATGACTTGCACACCAGTCAGACCTGATCAGAACAGCATTTGAGAGCCCTCAAGCTGCAATGCATGCTGCCACTGTTACACTACGGCCAGAGTGCAAGCAGATTCAGATTCAGATTTTCGGCGCTTGGTTAATCTGAGTCAGATATTTTGTTGGTGGCCACAGTGGAAGCAGGAATAAATACGCCACCGGTACTGACTCGGTAGCAAAGAAACAAGTCAGTCATCGTTATGGAATTGTCAGATGAGAAATTAACGTGTGAAATTATAGCGTCTCAAACTTTTGTGAAGTTACAGTACAGCCAGTGAAAAATGGTGCAGTACAGCCAGTGAAAAATGGTGTTCATGATATTATATATCTCTTTTACTATAGCTAGAAATGATATATAGCTTCTTTCTATATTGCGTTGAGTGGGAACCATACTGAAACGTATTATTAAAATTGGACATCGTATTGTAAGAAACTGGAGTATCCTACATAAACAAAAAAAATCCTGAAGACCGTTTAGTGGTAGCTCTAAAAGTAAGAATAAAAAAAAATAAATATTTGACTATAAAACATAATTAATTTAACTAAATAGTATAATTTATATAACTAAATAGTATTTGCGTACGAGCAAAATCTGAATCTGAATCTGAAACCAGAATGAAGAATTCATTCCGGTAAGCAGGTGCCTGCGCGCCGTCTCGGAAACCGGCGGCCACTATGGACACATCCATTTAAATGCATGTGCCATTCCTGCTGCCGAAAATCTGAATCTGAATCGGCGCCCACTCTGGACGTACCGTTAGGACATTAATCTGAACTAAAGATCTATAGGTTTATAAACCAGGTTATACGTGGGTAGATGCTCAGTCAATCAATAGCGTCGATAACACAGGGGGGCAAAGGCAGTGATGCTGTGTGCAGTCCAAATCTGGTACCTGGTACCTGCCAAACCTGCCACTACTTTGATATCGGTACAGTTAGTTCACCCTTGTACTGTACCAGCTCACTCCTTGCCGCCAAAGGTGCCAACCTCTTTCTTTTCAAACGCTACTAATCAATCAATCAGTCGAATGCCTTTACTCTGGAGCGCTTCTAATACCATATACACTACCATTGACTATTGGATACTGAAGTTGTATTAAAAGTCAAAGGTACCACTGTCAAATTTTGAAATGCCCCTAGTGTGGTAGTTAGAAGCTTGAGGTTGTAGAGCCTTTTAAGTACAGTTTCACACGGGTTGTTTTAGGTTGTTCCAACAAAAATAGTTTTTCATAATGGTAATATTTTGTTGGTTGGGGATCATAGGACCAGCTGGTCTTGGTCAGTAACAATTAATCATCTGATTCTTTTTACACTTCACCTTAATCTATTTTCAAATTAAAATACACACAATAAGAGTAGGCATATACAAATGTTAAACTGCACTTTAAAGGGTTGAAGGATCTTTGAAAAAATATCTAACCATATGGTTAGACAATATGGTGGTTAATATACTACTGAAAACTAATTATTAGTTTTCAGTAGTCATCTTACTCGCAGGATACCCCCAGTTTCTGGTGTCATTGAAAAAACTGTTGTGAGAGTTAATTTGCAATACTTACTCGCAGGATACCCCCAGTTTCTGGTGTCATTGAAAAAACTGTTGTGAGAGTTAATTTGCAATACAAATGTCTGTATCTGATCAGAACTTCAGCATAACTTCTCACTCACGACTATAAGTGGCTAAGAAGTTAGCCCCTAAGTGTTAATTATGGAAATTGCCTAGTTGATAATATTGGTTCAATATACGTGCGGTTATACAGGGTGGGGCAAAAAGGATGGTCGGTTTTAAACTCCC